TTTTAACTGCAAATTTTACCCGGTCAGCACCGTTAGGCTACCCTTTTCGATTTTCAACTGCCAAGGGATTTTTTTTTTCGTGCGCAGCAATGCACACGGGCGTCCGATCTCACTAGCCAGAGAGCAGGAGGGATTACTAGAAGTCCAAAAATGTTAAAGGAAAATGTACTGTATAAGAAATATTGAACAGGCAATTGGCGAGTCGCTCTTGTATTATATGTAAAGGTATTAGAACTTGTGGGCTGGCGCGTTGGCGTAAGAACGGAGGTGCGGCCACCCTGGAAGTGTAAAAAAAAGGGGGGGGGTGGGGAGGGATCGACCTGAAATTGTCCGCACCTGACACCATCCGACCTTGCTACGCCACTGGTTCCTCAAGCTATAATAATAAACAAACAAACCACAATTCAGAATGTATTTGCAAAAATGTCATACATTTTATAAACCTCTGAACAGCTCTGAGTCAGGAATGCGCGGTCACAAAGAAACCAGTGATTAAAAGTCCGCCCGCCTTTCTCCTGGGAAATATGCTGACCAAATCTTGCCGGGCCGCCTTTACTTTCCCAACAAACGGCATGTACCATCAGAAGTCCGTCTGCTGCCAGTCGTCACGTGATCTGGCAGACGGTGACCACACAATGGCGACAGCCAGTGATTGATCTTGTTTGACAGCCGTGATTTTATTTGAAAACTTTTACACACAAACTTTTCCTGTATCACATAGATTACTGTGATCTTTAACAATAGACCAAAGTCGACGCTGTTAATTTTATATGGTATTCTTGTCCTTGTCTGACAAGACTTTGCAAGCAACTTCAAGCCGTTGCCATAGACGCCGTGCGAGGGACATTAATTTAAAATTAATTAACTCTTAAGACTTGAGTGATGTCTCTCGCTGGCTTCACAGTAAGTTTTGCAACTTGTACACGTCATTGTTTCGTAATTAGCAGTGCTAGTTATTACATTTATTTTAAAATTATCATCGACAGTCCTTTAAGCCACAACTGTGGTATCGTCGTGTGTCGTGCCGTCTGGCGTGGCGATCATGGCGCTCGCATCTTTTTGTGATCTCCGTGAGCTTGTTTTGTTAAGTTATAATTATTTCGTGAGATGGCATTTTTATTGCTTGGACAAAACAAGGTGACCATCGGTCATGTTACTTTTCATTGTGCTCCGGTCTTCCCGACTGTACACCGTTAAAAACATATATCAGCTCTCCTCCGAACTTCGACCCGATATTATGGCGGCCATAAAATATCCTTACGGGGCTCATGCATATGTAAAATGCGGACTTTCTGCCAAGGAGCAAATCGCGGCAAAACTAGGATTACTTGACAGTTTCAAGAGACGCAACATTGCAGACGATAATAGCGACCGTTGACAATTTTGAGCGTTTCTGCAGATGATACTAGCAGATGATAATAGCATGCGCAAAACGGGATTAAACTCACCACCGAGCGTATCCCTCCACGCCGCTACACTTGGCGTGGATGGGGGGCTAAACTAGGTGCCTGAGACTTACGAGCAAATTAATTGGAGGAAGTTGCAGGACTTGCAGTAGCTGCTGCTCGTGAGTCCCAGACATAGTGTAGCCACCATCCGTGCCGTGCGTAGCGGCGTGGGAAATATGGTCGATGGTGAGGCACAGTCACATAAATAGGTCCGCAAGTAACATATCGCTGAGACTCTGTTAGAGCATTTGTTTCGTTATACGGAGCCGCAATATTTTTAATAGAACTGAGCCCCAGAAGGATATTTTATGGCCGCTATAATATCCTGTTGAAGTTCGGAGGAGAGCCCATATATATCTATGAATAATTATAAGTTTAAAATGTAACAACACTGGACAATTTTGCCTACACATATATATACACTAAAATGGTAAATTTATAGATCTGTACACTTCATATGTGGAGCCAGTACAAACATGGCATGCAATTCAACTAGAGATATTTGTTTTAATATTAGTTAATTAGTATGGCTTATACATTCTTTGCCTCTCAGGCAGATGTATTATGACTTCAAAGGATGCCCCCAGTTAGTTGACTCCTACAACATGCTTGTTGGGGAGGCAGTGAATCTATTCTTTCCTCCACAATGATGCCCTGGAACACAAATGGGAAAATTCATAATTAATAAGCAGGCTATCCTCCAAATAACGGGCACAAAAGATGGCGACCAAAAACAGGGCCTCAGTCATGTGTCAATTGCGCACCTCCGGCGACCTTATTTACGGTTTTCCGGCGACTACTGCCACCGCTGAGAGTATCCCGCACGCCGCTCACGCGGCATGGATTGGGGCTAAACTAGATGGCTAGGACTCACGAGCAAAGCTGCAGGAGATGCGGGAGCTGCTGCTTGTGAGTCCCAGCCATCTAGTTTAGCCCCAATCCACCCCGGTAAACCGCAAATTAAATCGCCGGAAGTGCACAATTGACACGTGACTGAGGCTCTGTTAGGGTGTTTTGGCGGCCGCCATCTGTTGTGCCCATTATTCGGAGGATAGCTAATAAACATATTTAAATATAGAATTATGGTACTTATCACCAACCCTTCCCCCCTATCCCCCCTCCCAAGGCAAGAGTTCCTTCCCTTCCCATTCAGGCTATGGCAGGCCACACAACCTGTCCTTTGTTGCAGGGGTGTCATGTGTTCATTATGTTCAACCATTGTCCCTTTTATTTTGTTTTCACCACTCACTTGCATGGTTATTTCCATATTGTGCTACTTGCATGGTTATGTCCATATTGTGCTACTTGCATGGTTATTTCCATATTGTGCTACTTGCATGGTTATTTCCATATTGTGCTACTTGCATGGTTATTTCCATATTGTGCTACTTGCCCAGCGATTTAGAAGAATGGAAGCTGGGATGTTTTTTGTATTCCTGAGGAAGTCACCACAAAATAACATAGAAAAACAAAAAACATTCCCTTGAAGTACCTTAAAGAGACTCATGACAACACAACCTCCCACAAACATTATATAGTCAAGCGAACACCAAACGAAACCATTTCATAACACCCCCACAGCATATGACAGACCATGAGATCCACCGCATCATGAGTAGGAAGGGAAAGAACACTTGTCGTATGGGCGAGTTCGTAATAAGTTCCGAGAGTTACCTTTCCATCATCCTGGATATGCAGAAATTAGCAAATGCTTGGTGAGTTGTCAGAACTAAAATAATATAATATTGATTATGAATTAAAATGCACATTCTATTGATTTGAGATCTTGTATAGAAACATTGTTAACACATTGATATCTGCAGTTTATTGGTGTGCAGTCTTGACAGTTTGTCACAGGTTATCAAGAAAGTCATAAAGTGGATTTATTTCCATGATTTATTGTGTTTGAGATTGACCGTGTTGATTATGATTAGTCTTTAATATATCATGCAGTCAACTTTCGGTCCTAATGAATTGCTATCACATAGAGTGTTCTCTTACATTTTCACATTTGGTCCAAGTACACTAATGAAATCTGGCTTCGCTGGATCTCTAGAAAGTATGCTCTTGTAATTTTTGTGACGATCAGTTCTCTGTTATTCATAATTGTTTTTCTCTCTGACTTCTTCAAGTGTAGAATGCTACACAGACATACTTGTTAATGTGAAAAGAGAAGGTTCAACTTCTTTAATTCTTTCACTCCTAAGGAACACTTCCTACTGAAAAGCTCAATGAATGCAAGAAGAGTTGATTGTAGTCTCCCTTCACTACCCCTTGGGCCTCTGATACGAAACTCCCTGGGACTTGAAGAATTAGGTTTCTCACTCCCCTTTTAGATAAATTAAACCAGTTTTTACAAAATAAAGTTAGTTGCATATCCTTTACAGGACCTTTACAGAACCAACTCCTGCATTTGTATAAAATGTTTGGAGTTTACTAGGCAATTTTAAGTTCAGTAGTTTGCCATTGTTTCTGAATGGTCAGCTCTCGATACCACTGTTGAAACCAACACAAGACTGTTTGCTACCAAATCACCTGCAGCTAGGTTCCAACCTGACTCTTAAATTGGATTTGTTGGACTGAAAGGTACAGATATTGTGCCCTAGCTGTAAACCGAAATGCAACTTGCCAACCACCCTTTTAAGGGCTAATGCAGAAGAAGAAGAAGAATAAGAAGAAGGACAAGAAGAAGAACAAAAAGAAAAAGCAGAAGAACAACAAGAAAAAAATACTAGAAGAAGAACAAGAAGAAGAACGATGGGAAAAAAAGGAAAAATCCACATGCACTCTCCCTCTATCTTTCATTCATCTCCTGATAGAAGATCAGCTTGGTTTCCTAACACTATACTTACTGGTCTGGAAGCAACCCAAAGACAAAGTGAAAGCCAAAAATATTTGAGTGAAAGGCATTAGGACAGAATCTAGTTATGAAAAATCTCTTGGGAAGTAAGCATCACCAGCAGGGTACTGACCACATTACCCAGTGAGTACCAATTTGTCTTTTTAAAAACAAAACAAAACCAAAACATCAAAAAGAAAGTACTGGTTAAATTAAAAAGATAGCTGATCCTGTTTATTGAGAAAATTCGGAGGAGCAAATGGATTGTGGCAGTCTGGTGGGAATGATGCAGTGGAGAGTGACGAGGGGTTTTGGCCCTTGCTCGACACTCAGAGGAAAGGCAAGGTAGACATTTATTCAGAATGCTACTGGCATCACTGGTATATTGGGGCTCAGCGCTGGCTGCTGAAGATGGGGACGGAGTGTTTATGGGAATGCCACAATTGCTGTGATGTCAGTTCTTGAATCAACTTATCAACTCAACTCAATTTTTGAGCAAAGCAGTAGGAATGTTGCACATTTTAATAACAATCATCACTTGTTTCTTTTTCAGGTGTCACAGGACGAGTAATGTGTGGAAGTTCAACATGCTTTGCCCACACAAAAAAAGAACTATATTACATTTATATTATTTGACTTTCATGACAGTTTGACAAGTCGGCCCCTGCTGTTGTCTTCTGATGAGGTGTTTGTGCAGTTCCTTAAAGTGCATTATGGGTAATATGCTGTGTGCCAAAAAAGAGGATGACACATGGAAACAGCAGAACAAGCAAATGCAGAAAAATCCTGCCTACAAATTTGCCAACTTGGCAAAGGGAGGTAGTCTAATTGATGCGTACAGAAAGCACGGCCCATTGAAAGTCAGAGAGATTGCTGAGAATGAGCTGTCCAGTTTCTTCTACAATAAACAAGGCAAATGCCATCGCATTACAAAAAGTGAATATCTGCGATTTAAATGGAAATGTGCTCGGCGAAGGGAGGTAAGTCAGTTGTGTTTACCCTTTTGCCTCGTAAAAATCTTTTAAAAAATGACCTTCTTCAAATTTTATTACAAGACTGCATCGTTATAATTTTCTTAAACTCTTCCCTATGAAATTAGAAGAAGAAGAAGCGGAAGCAATATGAAGTCTTGGATTTAACAGCATGACGGGCTCCTGGACCAGCCAGTTTTGTTGGGCCCCTACAGCAATCACTTACAGCAAAAAAATGTAAATGATTGATACTATGAAACATATGTTAATTTTATTGGCACTTTAACAAAACTAGCTTTAAAACATAAACATAGATTATATCAGAGTCGTCTTAACAACATTATGGGCCCTGGGCAAACTGGTGTGCTGGGGCCTCTATGACAACCACTTACAGAAAAAGACATATTATTTGTGACAAGTGACTTGACCTACACAAATCCGCATTGGGTTGCCAAGAAAGTGTCCATGCGTTAAGACAGCCTGCCCTAGAGAACTGAACATAAACACAGGTGTGAAGTTCTCTGCTTCTTTGATGATGTTATGTCACTAAAAAAATTTATTATTTTTTCAGTTACTAGATTCATAGTTGGCGCCTGTGGCTTAGGAGTTGCGAACATGCTTTGTAATGCTGGGGTGACTGGTTCAATCCCAGCCACTGGCCTTGCACATTGCATTGGATTAGTTTTGACAGTGGTATCGAGAAGCTGACCAATCTGAAAGCAATGGCAAACTACTGGACATTAATTTGCCTAGAAAAACCACAACAGCCAAAAAAAATGCTGGAGTTGGTTCTGCAGCGTCCTGTAAAGGATACACTACCAACTTTAGATGCATAAATCAGGAAAAAGTTTATTTCTGCACAAAATGAAGCAATCCCTAAATACAAGTAGAGCAAAAAAATCACCTGATTACCTTTATTCTGACCATTAAAAAGTGATTTCAGTCAAGTTGCCACAGACAGCCATGTGTTGCATTAATTAAATTAGTCATGCTGTGATTACCTCACTGTTTTAAACATTCTGTTTATTTCCCACCCAAAGTAAAGTATAATCATCCCCATTTTGTCTACCCACTATAACCCATAAGTGCTCCGTTCTTCTTCGAACTCAAGTTTGAGTCAGAAGAAGCTCAGCACAGTGCACAAGCTCTGTAGCAGCAGCGAGGATCCTGAAATAGTTTGGGTAGATTTTTAGCTCCAAATTTTGTACGGCAGCGCTGTTAGGCTACTTTTTTCAATTTCCAGCTGCCAAGGGATTTTTACATGCGCAGCAATGCACACGGCCGTCCGATCTCACTTCCCAGAGACCATGGACAATTTTAGAATTCCAAGTACACTTAAAAAAATCCCTGCCCTTGCGGGGGATTGAATCGGGAACCTCTAGCACTCAAGGTGGACACCGTGCCTCGAGACCAGGCATCCCCCTGTAATGTAACAAATGCAAAATTACCCCTTGCAAGAGGAGCTGCCTGAGAAAAGCTGCCAACCTAATCATCTAGGAATAATATTACTTTCAGACAAATTGTGGGAACAGTACCTTGTACTAGATTCTTAAATAAACAGCAGATCAAGTGGTTTGGCTATCCTGTTAGAATGCAGCAACATCAAATACCATCACAGGGACTACATCTCAGAAGATCAGCTAAAAGAGCAAGAAAACAACCATAAAAAAATATGGATCAACATCTTTAAAGACACTTTACACCTTCATGACATGACATTCCTCATGTGGTCCCATTGTGAGAAAAAACAAGAATGGACCTTCTGCCTACCCGAAAATTCATGTCGTGAGAGTCAACTAATTGGGAGCTTCCTTCAAAGTCGGAGTGCATCTGCCTGAGTGGCAAGGAACAACCAGCTGAATTCCGAATTGACAAACATTCAGGAAATTCAGCTAGAGCTTACAGCAGTAAAAAAAAAAATCAGCCTTGATGTGGATTGGAATTAAATACCTTCAAGTGGGCAGCTGAGCATCTAACCACTATGTTAAGATCGATCCCTCAGTCCATAGGGAATCCTTTGGAGTAAGCAAAGCTGGCCAAGGAAGAGATCATGATGCATGGCGACAAATGGTCTGTACAATACTGCCCAGGCTTTGTGCCATGGAGAGAAGGAATTTGTATCCCTGCTCTTAATTGGCTGTGATTCCCACACTGGTCTCTGTAACATATTATAACACTAAATGATACCTTTCCGTCTTTCCAGACAATAGTGTGCTGTGAGGAGGTGTGGGATTTACAGCCCATGGTGATGGCGAGTGTTACTAGCAAGACCCACTCACATAAAGAAGTCTTCCACAGTTATAGCCTGGGATTTCTGGAGTGTTGTTGTCAGCATTTGTGTTTAGTGTGTTTTCATCACAGATCTTCTCCTGCCACTTAATGCCAAGTATTCTTCTTAGGCATTGCATGTGAAAGCTATTTAGCTATTTCTCCTGGTGCAAATAAGTTCACCAAGTTTAAATGCAGAGTGTGTAGACAATATAACACTTCTTCTTCTTCAGGGTTCCGAGCCCTTGAGGTTCATTGTTGCAGATATCACCCGCCTCCATTCATCTCTCTGGTTGGCCTTCTCATTCCAGTTGGTGACACCAAGTGTTTGCAGGTCTTTTGGACGTTATCTCTCCATTGTCTTCTTTGTCTGCCTCGGGGTTTACAACCATCAGCTCCCTTGTGTATACAGTTTTTACCTCTCTGTCATTTCATATTCTCTCAAGATACCCAAGCCATGTCAGTCTATTAGATCTCATGATGCCAGTGATCAATGGTGATTCAAACAGACAATATAACACTATCATCTAGAAAGACTGAAGGGTGACAATGATAGTTCATAAGTCAATTGTCATGTTCATTTTGTGTGTGTTGTAAAACGGCATGTATTATCACCTCAGGGTCTGGATGACAGTGAGATGATTTCTAATGAGCAGCTGGAAGCTCAGTACGTGGAAGATTATTTCAATAAGTTCACGCCTCATGATGCATGCTGGGATCTAGACAAGCGTGGAGGTGTCGGGGAGACACCTTTTCATCTCTTATTTTTAATGGATACGCCAGTGCATTTTGAGGTGGCAAGAATTCTTTTGAGTTTGTACCCAAATCTAGCCTTGGATATTTATGAGGGAGATGAATACTATGGTAAGTAATTGTTTTTCACCCACAGTCAGATATTTTATTGTTTTTAAGCTCTTTAAAAAACAAAAACTGTGCCATCTCCACTATGAGGGTTGGCTGCAGTATTTCCACAGCTAAATATTTGAATATTACACTGTGAGACCCAACTCTTTTCTACGGTGTTACTCTCGTACCTGTCTGAAAGTCACGAGAGCTGTCCTTTTTCAAAACCACCCACCACATGAATTGAACCAGGGTAAATGATAAGGAAAAAGTTGTGAAACATTTTCACTAACCTAAAAGCCACAATGCTACTTGCGGTATATATTCTTATTAATTCTCTTATGTACATTCTTACACTACCTTCCCCCTTTTGTTATTTCCCTAATATGTTACATTTATTCAAGTTTTACTATTTCTCTTGCTAAAAATTGTCACAATAAGGTAAAACTGAGTAGAGAGTACTGCAAAAATAAATATCTGAAATAGTTTAAAAAGTGTAAGGCATTTGAAAGCAAATGTATGAGCAAAATGTTGAATATAACAGGGGTTGAAGAAATAAGAGAAATGTCTGGGCAACCACTAGAAACAAAGTGATAAGACAAAGAAGATGGCGCTATACTGGACACATCCTGAGAAGAAACCAGCAGAGAATCACCAGACAGGCACTGAAATTGGAAATAAAGGGATTAAGGAGTCAAGGATGTCTAAAAGAAATCCTAAAATGAACTTTGCTGAGAGAGGCCAAAGCTGCTGGACTGGATTTTATTCATGATATTGGAGGGATTGCGCAGGATTGAACGGAATGGAGGATTAGACTATGTGACATATAATGGCTCAACAGATGATGATGATGGTAATGATAGTTTTAAAAGATTGGAAAAACTTGAAGTATATACATGTCAGCTTTAAAGGACTAATTACAAAAGACAAGCTAAGGATGTAGTTGTTATTAGCCTTCATCAGCAGAACAATTAAAAAAAATTTGACTGACTGACTGACTTTCTACCCCACAGGACATCACACAAGTGATAAACACCCGATGACACAAAGTGCCACCATGTGGAGAGGTCCCAGAAACCGTGTTCAGACAATTGGCCATATTTATGGCCTGCCTATATTGCGGCCCCTGGCAAAAGCCAGGGTGAGGCTTCAAAGAACAAAAAATTTTGTCCTAAAAAGGATGCTAGGGTATATATACGCTATAATGTTTAAATATTTTGTTTATAAAGCAACATTTATACTATAAATCACAAACCATTTCGGTATTTCCTGTGTTTGTTATAAAAGAAGTGTTAATGCCTCCCAAACCATGACCTATACACAGGTTAAATTTTCATTTGCCATTATGACTACAGTTTTTAATTTAACAGTCACATTGGTGGCCCAATTTATTGTGCATTTCTTTATTTATTTTGACAATCAGTAAAAGTAAACTTTAGCTGGAGTTAAATCTCTTTGAATATTTATTTTAGTCTCATTTCCCTTGAAAAGTTAATTATTAAAATTATGTTTCGCTTTGTACCTCATGGTCTTCTCTCATACATCTGCTTTCTGTACCCAGTACCTTTGTGTTCGAAGTTGTCATTGCAAGTGTTTGTAAGCCTGTCTTTTTATATTTCCTCAATCTTCTTGGTCTGCGTTCTGGTCTGCTGTCATTCAGCTCTTTTATGTACGCAGTTGTTGTCTCTCTGTTATCTGCCATTCTCTCTGTATGCTCTATCACAGTCTTTTAGCCCTGGTGAAGAAGGTAATTAATGGCAATTTAACCACATTATGAGCTGTGTTAAAACTCAGGTCCTGGCACGAAGCAAAAGTCCAGATTTATAACCAGCCGAGACTTTCCGCTAGAGCTTTAGGTGAATGAAGAAGAATAAGTGAACCTCAGCTGTCCTGAGCTTGTTATTAGTCTCATTTATTTCCAACAAGGTTTCTCAACACTTTTGATTTGCAGCGCACATATATACATATCGACGTCAACACACAATGGCTTCACTTAGAATTTATTGCAACATTAATGCTAATCTGCAATCAGAGACCGTCAATAACACTTTCTGTCATTTCTCACATTCACGTGTTAACTGTCCTCCACTATGGTGTTTTATCCCTGCGAAGGGCTTGTGTGGCTATGGGACGACTGTAAGTGATGATAGTGAATGACGGACTAGCACTCCTTTGACCGCTTAGCTACTAGTCAACAGCCCACGGAAGTTTCCGACTAGGACATCGTGACAGACGAGTTAACACTCCAGATTCATGGAGTTTAGACCTACCCGATGGTAAACGACGGTGAACGGTGGACCAGACAAAACTGACAGAGCAAAGTGTTTTGGGGGAGTTCGTTGGAGAGAGACTTGGACACTATGTGGTGTTTTGATAGCTAGGTTTTACTTAACTCATTTAAGTTAGAGACGGTCAGATTGTGATAACCTGTTAACATGACGGTATTATAATGTAAATGTTAATTAGGCTGTGTAACTTCTGTATTATAGAGACATAGAGGAAGACCACGGGAAAAGAATTTTGACAGTCTTGTAGCATGGCATGGAGGTGTGTCAGCACACGAACTAATACATGCTGCAGGAGATCGTAGATTGTGGAGAAGCATGATCGCCCACTTCAGTCGTCAAGAAACCTGATGAAGATGATAGTCCATTGTGCTAACTTATAGTTGTTTTTACTCAGGTGCGTAGCTGTGTCTTGTCGAGGTGGTTTGCGAAAAGGGTTTTTCTGTTTAAAAAAAAAAAGAAGACGAGAATGAGTTCATCGGAATGGTTCCAAGGCGACTTGGTCTGTCTGATCACACTACTAGAGCCGTGCATTAGCACAGTAATCACAGAGTAAGGTGCAGAGGTGTCGGAAAGAGCTAGGATCGAAGCCTGTTGGTTCGGACCCGGTTAATGCCTGGAAGCAACAGGAATGTCTGTGTGTGAGTGGCGATTGTAAAGCACTCCGGGCGGTTGGGTGAGGGTTTGCGAGCCATCTCTGGGACGAAGTGCCGATCGCTTGTTGTAACTTATATTAAAGGCTGATGTCTGTTCTGAGGGTGTTGGGTTGTTGTATTTGACATAGACATCTTATGTCATGGTGCTGCCAATGAGCCGTTACCATTAAGGCGATAAGTAGTTCTCTGTTCATCCCCAAAACATTCCCGTGCAACACATTTTCACATACAAAAACAGTGGCTCCATCTGATACAGCACGCAGCGTTTTGCAAAATCACCCACCTTCATTTGTGTCCCAGGTCATGATGGTATGAAAGGTAATTAGAGAGCAGACGTTCTGGTTGGCAGTACAAAAGAGGGTACCCTCTATGGACAGGAGAGACATCAGCAATGCCAAACGAAAGACTAAACGCTATGAGGCTTTCAGTTTCGTGGAAAATAATTTTTCACTGAAAAGGCAACATACCCTGTGTATACCAGTTAAAGCCGCGAGACAGAAAAACCACGCGAGAGCCACCCATCGTTACATCATCCGGAACAAAATGGGAGTTGTTAGCCTAAAAACACTTAAAGACATGCTCAGGAGAAAATCGGAGCAGTTATGGTCATGTCCGATGTGCGATGAAGATGATCCCAAAAAAGATTAATGAACATTTACACCATTCAGGTCTTAACATTCCGATGTGCAGTATTGGGTTTAGATACTCGATAGTGCATTCCCAGCGTAATTATCAGACTAAGGGGAACAACACCATGAAGCAAAATTCACCGAGAAACAGAAGATCAAATGGTTTGATCATCTAGTCAGAATGCAGCCAAAACAACTACTAACGTAAACGCTACACATAAAAAGATATGTTGTGAAAGCAAGAAGCCGCCCCAGGAAAAACTGATGATGCATTTAAAGAGCTTTTACATGGACACGGAATGACAATAACCATCGCAGCCCATCTGTTAGTGGATCTGAAACTTTTCCTTCCCACGCAGCTTTGCAACAGAAGTGGAAATTGATGATGATGGTGATGATTCCCAGCTTAACGCTTATCAAGATCTTTACAAACCACAGTGACATAAATCACAACAGTGACATCAAAAACTGTAGTATATCATCACAGTTGGAAAATTTGATGGAAAAGAGGCAGAGGGAGACCGATGGAGAAGATGCAGACAGTTTCATTTCATGTATGGAAGATCATTGATTAAAAATACACGAGACACAAGGTTGTACATCAACAAGACGACCAACGCCACACGACGTTGACTATTAGAGAAGAAGAATTCATTGTTTGCCACCTCTTAAAATCACCAGAATTACGGATCAGGTCTGTGTTCTATGCCCCATTTTAAGGATCAGAGAATTGTGTATACAGTCTGTCTTTGCTTTTTGTTTTGTTTTTCAAGAGCTAGAATTTGTATCCATGAACCCTACATTTGCCGACAGAGACCGTATGCACTCGATTGAATACTCTCAAATAGCGGCAATTCTAATTAATCATCTGGCCATACAGACAACCGTCAATCCCTAAGAACCATGGGGTGATACTGCTGTTTTTGGGGAGCAGTGTCTGCTGTGACTGTGAAGTCCTATGCAGGGTAGCAATTTAGAACCAATATATCTACAGATAATTAAACTAGAAAACAAAGTGAAAAGATGATTCAAAATAAGAAATCAAACTATAGCAGTATTTTTAGAGTTAGCTCAAGCTTATGACCAGAGTTGGCGACAAGCCATGATGTATGAAGTCGGAGACATAAGACTAGGATTAGATGGACTAGTATATGGTGGTAAATTATGAGCTTATTGGAGTACAGGTCATTCTCAGTAATCGTTAACAATGAGAGATCAAATATTTGTGTATCGGAGAGCGGATTGCCCAAGGTGTGTTGTTATCGCCAACAATATTCTCAATCCTGGTTAATGATCTTAACGAGGTAATTAACGACCCAAGAGCTAACCTGTCAGAGTTTGCGATTGATTGTTTTATATTTGCACGTGATAAGTCAGTGAAGAGTGCAAGAAACAGATGACCCCACAAAAGGTTCCTAATGCTACTAATTGGATGATTAAATGGGATTTCA